GTTGTTGTTTGGTCAGAGAATGGAAGAATCGGTGCAAAGAGGCCTGCCAGTGATGCAAAAGCAGAAGGAACAACAAGAAAAACGCTGAAATTGAGGACCTCCTTATTTGTAAGGACGATCGTGCTACGACGTAGAGAAACAGCGCTGCGAGGAGAGGGAAAACACGAAAGAGTATGTTGTTCGAGAGGAAGTAGGCACCATGTATGCTGCGAACGATATGAAGGGTGGCGGTCAGGTGAAGGCATCAGCGTTGTTGTGAAGCACTTTCAAGTCGCTATAGCGCCCAATCCCGTCTCCTAGGGACTTCACCCAGCTTTTTTCAGAGGATATGATAGCGACCCGTGCCCTTAAGTCTAGATTGGGAAAAGTGTTCGTTACACTCGCGAAAAATACAATCTTTGAGCTCATTTCGCCGGCTAAAAAATAAACTACGTACAAGACCCTCGCAAAGCAGCATCTTTGATAGGACCGAGAAAGATGAACGAGATCATCCGCATTGCAGACCAACTTGGCCTTCCCCTCTACTTTTAATTATAGGTTTCTTGCTTCGCCCTTTTATTTGACACCCAAAAGCAGTAGCAATCACATGAGTATGTACTGCAATAAATAACAAAAAATTACCAATAGAATTCGTTATTACCACGCTCTGGTAGGGTAGCCCACACAGTTCAAGTGAGTCTTCAAATACGCAACTCTCAAGGTGTTTCAATTTTTATCAACAAAATATAACATAACGAATTGAAATGAATTTGAAACTATGTAGTATGTATATGAATGGATGGCAAGCGAATAAAGGCATATGAATAAATTATGGAGCACATGTGAATGACCGCAAGCATTATTTAGAGACTTTCCAGACAAGCTTCTGACAACGGATGTATTCGGCGAGATGTAGTGTTAGCTGAAAACGGAATCATTGATAGAAAAATCGTAAAAACCGAGTTCTCGAAGAGTTTTTCCCATTTCTATTATTGAAAGTAGGTCAAGAGATTTACAATTGCAGTGGATTGGAAGAAATAGTGTTTCGCCGCGCGCGACATGGCACTGTAAGGGACCAAGCCAAAAATCAATCCATCCAAAAATCTACCCAAAAAAGCCACATCTGTCTACATCCGACTGAAATTCCCCCTATTTCTTCCTACACTTCATTCCGATGAAAGGATTCCATCCAGTGAGGGAGGCATGTGGTGCAACAGTTCATATAGCCTGATGTTTCAGGGGAGAGGAAGCTCCGGAATGGGCACAAGAACGATTCCTCCCCTCCCCCTCCCCGATCCCTGTGAAAAAAATTGAAATTATGTAGGCGGCAGCAACTGCCTAACCGCATGCCCCACTCTGCATGAGACTTCTCCCTTGATCCTTCAACAAAGTCTGTCCAAATACACTGAATT